GAGGTTGGGAAACGAGAGCAAGAAGTCACCTGGGTGCCATGTAAAAAAAAAAGTCAAGAAAAAAGATAACCCCGGGACTTCATTCCCGAAACGCGACCCAGGCCACGGGATTCCGCGGATTCCCTGATAGCAATTAGGTCTCGTTATCGGACTTATACCCCCTTTGCCTTTTTCCCCTGCTCTCAGAAGGGCTCTTTGGGCTTTCTTTCCTGTCCCGTTCCCAAGTGTAAATCTGTCTTTAAAACCAATGAGATTTTGATGCCTCGGCCGTTAAATTGATACCAAACAATGCCGTTAAACCCCTTTTCGAACTCCTTTCAAATATTTTTTTACGCGAATTTAAGGGCGCAAATTCTGGCTTCGACTTCCGACGCACAGAACATAAGAACGCATCTTGAAGTTGATGGTCCCTGATTTTCAAATGCTAAGAGCAAGATTATGGCGTGCCACAAAATATATTACATACATTAGACTGATTATTTTCTCGAGAATCTCTTCAACATGATAGGAGAGTAAAATACAGTACAGTATATTGAAACTATAAAACGGCGACGTGAACTATGTAAACAACCTATTGATTGAAGTAAAATTCATGGATTTTTATTTTATTTCGAAGAGCCAAAGAAAAGGCTGCTGTGGTTTTCCCACAAGAAGAAACTCGTTTTCCGGGTTTACTTCTTGGTCTTTGAAAGGTAAATTCCATTTGTGACTGTTGACAAAATCAAAGACCATTGCGATTGTCGCTTGCTGACATCTCCGGTTTCTCGCAACAATTGATGATCTGTCTTCCACGCAGAGGTTCCAAAGAGACGAGCAAATTGGATCCATTATTGCTCACCATGAGCAGCTAACGCCCAAGAAAAGACCCCACAGAGAAGTTTAATATGAATAAGTGAAGAAAACGGAAAACAAAAAACTAGTCCCCTCCGCCCATGGTCTTAAAAGAATCTCGCTTTTCGAGGCCATTCATATTTGAAAATGTCGAATCTCGTCATGCCATCGATTTTGTCCACTATAGTCGAGGAAACAAGAAAATTTTGTCCCGGTTGGTGTTGACGCCTCTGCGCCTGTCGCGTGAACACGGGTGTCGCTAACGAGACTCGCGTGACGATAATTTAATGGCTTTCTTAGTCTCGCCTCACGTCACTTGACTCAAGACCTTTTCTTTAAAATCAAAGCCGGCGATTGAACATGCTAGAATAAAACCGTTTATTCTAATTCTTGGAACTCGTCATTTACGTCAGAGTTTTGCACGAAAGCCGCGAAGATAAAAATAAATTCTATACAGTACCATCATTGGCCTTGACCATGTAAATTCTGAACTGATTTTCTTCGGAAGTACGACAGATCTCTGGAAATCGTCTTTTCTTAATAGTCGAACCACTTTCTCAAACTTCAAGGGACCAGCAGAAAAGCAATTTGAGTTAAAGGGTTTTTAATTAATATACTGTAACAAGTATTTTTGGAGGGGAAGAAAGAAGAATTGCAGCAATTTGTAATTGGCATTATTCTGGGCCTCAAGAAATAAATGAGTTGACATGGATTTTTAGATGGTTTTTTTTAATGAGTTGACAGGATATTGAACTTGAAGGCAGAGGTTCATTTGTCCAACTAATATTTCACTTTCTTTAAGAACATATCGAGTCATACTTTGATTCCTTTTCTTTTTCCTGTGTCATTGCACTCAATGGGATGATAGAAAAGTACCTCCAGAAAATTTGAGCTATGGACATTTTAGGAGGAAAGCCTCGAGTTAAGAAGGTTTTCAATATGCAAGAGAAAATTCACGATATTTTTTTTCGATAAAATCTTGCTTGACATAAACTCGTAATTATCTTCACTCATTGCACAGGTTCTCAATAAAAAGTTTGCGAAAATGTCCCGGCTCTTACATCGATTCCACTCAAAGAAAAAAAGCTTAATGGCAGAGCGAGTTCAGGCCAAATATCCAAGTAATTTTGATTGTTTTCATAAAATTTACATTGAAAGATGTTTCTTGAATTTGTGCCAGCGATTAATTAATTTATGAACATAGCACAGCGAAACTTCATGTTCGACAAGAAGAACTGAACTAAAGTTTAAGCTCAGCTGAAAACATCTCATGCATTGGTAAAAGCGTTGTGGAAGAATGAAATGAGACTGTAAGCGAAAATGATGAATGGTTCTTTGGCGAACACTTTCAGTTCGCTCATACATCTTCTCACAACCGGATTTTACCTTCGTTATTAGCCTCGGGTCGATGCGGAAGTTCAAAGAAAAACCTCGTCCTCATTGTTAACATGCACAAAGCAAGTGCAAACGAGAAATTTTCATCAATGCGACCCGTCTTTTGATGAGACAATTGATCGAAATGTCAACTCACTTCACAGTGATGCAATCAACATTGTTTCTAACTTACTTATTGACTTCTGAAGATGTCAAGAAATTTTGTAACAAATTTCTACAGAAGTGGTTCGGCGTCAGGGTGGAACGAAGAAATAAAACACAGACTTCTTTTCCAGATCGAATCTTCAATATCACAAATATCCACGCAAAAATCCCTCCATCGTCAATAAAAAAAATTTGCATCACATCAACCACGGTTTTGCGAGAACCCGTGCAAAAAAATACAACAACATCCGGAGTAGAACAAAAATCATGGCACGCGGAAAAAACAACCCCAGTCATATCGACACGAGAGAAATGAAAAATCGTCGGCGTGGGCCAAACGACCCAAAAATTTTTGAAAAAAAAAACACCGCTGAATGAGTCCGACGAATTAACGGCATTCCGATCAATAAATTTACTAGCAAACGACGATTCACACACAAAACAAATGTGAGAAAGAGATCACGAGCCCACCGACGCGAAGCTTTGTCGCAAACCATTAGGGTTCTCTTCACTTAAATCACCCCACCAAATATTTTTGCATGGTAAATAATTGGATAAGATATAAAACTGAAAAAAAATTGCTTTGATATGTGCACCAGAAAGAGAATGAGTGATTTTCAAAGAAACCGGTTCTTGCCTCATCCAGTCAACTTCGGAAAATTACTTTGAGGATTTTCAAAAAGTGTGTCATGATTTGCATGGGAACAGCTTCCATTCTGAAATTTAATCACATAAGTGTAACCTCGGATTTGAGGACGCATGAACTTTTGTCTAAAATTAAGCAATGATGCCCGGATAGTCCTAGTTTTTTTTATTCTCCAGAAATTCTGCAAGATCAGCATCCGTCAAGATGAACACCTGCCTTTTTTGCTGAAATGTCAAGGATTTTATGAGTGGATCACTAATCTTCAAACGTAATTTGAACTGACGGTTAACTAATTTAATCCTGATTTTTGACACCTTCTATGGCAGTTTTACTATTAAAATTTTCCCTTCGAATTGTAAACTAATTTTTTGAATGATTATCCCATTTACCAAGCAAACAAGCTCAACAAAGAAAAATAGTTTATTTTTCGGGGGGAAAAAATTAAACCTAGACAAGGCCTTGAAACGTTCGTTGCCAACACAATTCCTCGACGAACTCTCGGGTTCAAAAGAAAAGGCGGGGTGCTTAAATGGAAAGACCCAAGATGAAAACCCTTCGGAAACAAGATGAGAAAACACTGGCTCCTCATTCACTCTCCCAACCACAAAAAATGTATCACGGAACCCCCTGCGAAACCATTTTTCAAGCCTCCGCGTCAAAAAGCAGCGAGGCTCGTTATGAGTGAGTAATTCCCTCGTTCAACGAAGCTGCGGCGAATTGCGTTCGATTCCGAGACAACAAATGGGGACGCGGCCCTGAAACGCAATCAGAGTTCGAATTCTTTTGTGTTGCCAACCCGACTAATCGTCAGGCACTTGAGCGTCACTGAAAAGCTCTCCGACACCTGCATTCTTCCTCCTCCCCCCGAAAAAAATGATTTCACTATATCCTCAATGCTTCACCCTTTCGTTATTTCTTCAGCGCTTTGATGAAATGAAAAAAGTGACATTGAAAATGCAGTCAGTCAACCTCTTGGCGAAGAAGACAATTCAGCACACGACGCTCAGTTGCCCTCGGCATTCTCTTTTTCGCATTGCTTTCAAGGCGGGGGGGACTTTGAAAAAAAAAAACCACACCGATCTTCATGATTTCCAAGACAACAACAAAAAAAAGTATCACATTTCCGCGCTCGGCGTGCATATTTTTTTCAGCGATGGTTGCAGTGTCGTTTTTCCATCCGCCAACTGACTCGAAACATCAAACTTTCCGCGGGACAACGGAAAAAGTCACTGGCTATGAAGCGAGCCATGCGCGGAGCGCAATCGTCACTGTCGACACCAACAACACCGTCGACACCGTCACCGACGACGAGTGACTTCGCAGCAACTCCTGTCGTCGCAGCAAATCTTTCTCCAACTTGTACAAATAATCTGCGAAGAGAGAAAAGAACGAGAAATTGAAATAAAAACTTCGGTTGATAACCGCGAAAGTTTTTCGTGTCACAAAGAAGCGAGGCGGCACGCAAAGGCCTCAAGTAGAAAACATTCCTTAAAAATAAAAAAGCAGTTTACGACCGCCATATACAAAGGGGCAATTTGTCCACTACGCCATCGTCAACAGCCCCCAGAAGTCGAGCACCCGGGAATGCAATAAAAGGCATCTCAGTGAATGCGAACATTTACTTTGATTTACGAGAACAGCTCTTTGTGTAGAGTTCTTCCGAACAAAGAAAGACTCTGCAAAAATCGCCAAGGACAACTGCGCAGACGCAAGCTCATTCATTGCAGGCTGCATTTTTCGCAGGCGCGAAATATTTATGCACGCGAAAATAATTCAATGAAGAGAAAAAACGGCTATAAAATATTTCTTCGCACGATTTCGAATTTGAAATCACTGATCCAACTAGCTAATCGAAATTCCAATATTATTGAACCTTGCTCGAATCCCGTTCCTTTTTTTTTTGAATTCACTTCACAAATCCGTCTAGAACTCGAGCAACTCGAAATGAAACTCGACAGCTTCCACATGGAGGATGAATAAAATCTCAGTTCGTGGCGGCATTCGGGGAACTGATTACTGGCGTGGACAGAAAAGTAGGTGCGGTGACTGAAAATCACGCTTCGCTTTTAAATGGACTGACAGGCTGCCAAACGTGACCAGACAGTTAAGCACGTACCAGAAGAAGGGATCGCAAAACACTGCGTTCCGAAAACCCCCCCAAAAAAATCATTACTTGTACTGAAGACTTTTCTTTTTACAGTTTTTTGCGATTAGTTCTTGAATTTGATCTCTTCTGCGCTTTGCCACGTTCTCAAATCTTTGTCAAAAGTTTACAGAGGACTCCTTCAAGTCTCATAATGGTTCTGAGGAAACTCTGGTACAAGATAACTTCATTTTCAAGTTCACTGCACTGAAAAAACCTTGAAAACATCACTCGAATAAAAAACGAAGTAAGTTGAATTCACAGCGGGTTTTCAAAATTAGAGTAGGATGTTCAGTCGAACCCCGATAAAAAGCCACCTTCTGTCCTGGGAGCTTTTGGCGATTTATAGAATAGCTCTAAATTACTCAATTTTCCTCCAAAAATATCAGAAATACATTTCTTCCAAAAATCTTCAGAAATGTCCCACGAATGGTATTAGAAGATGAATTTTACTCCATCAAATTATCTATGAATTTGAAAATAATGTTCATCTATTGTTCAAATTATTCAAGAGAAAGAACATGTCCATCTTATTTTTAATTTTTAAATGCAACTCGTCGAAAGAAAATTATGATTCTAGCCCAAGGTTTTTTGTCGCAACAAAGGCAGAACTGATGCGAAACAGCATTTTTGCTACATCATTAATGACGGTGGATGGCTTTTGGAGTCTTCAGGAGGTTCCCTCGGATAATAAACTTTACAGAGATTTATTCAATGCAACATTTTGGCAAGTTTCCGATGGTGGCGCTTGATTGACGGAGTTTGACTGTGCTCTTCAATGCTTGCGAATTGTTTTCCGCATTTTTCAATTTTTTTTCTTTCAGGGCTCAACTGACGCGGAACTACTTAAACACTTAAGTAAGTGCGTGGCAATAATCAAAGAGCAGAAACACAAAAATCAAGAAAAGACAAAGAAAAAAAAAACGAAATGTTAAACTCACCAGATTCTTTCGGTGGCGGCCGAGACTTGACACTGAACACCGGGAACCCAAAGTTTTTGTAAGATGTAGATCGTGACGTTGTCGTGGGAAACCAATGCGGCAGTGTGGACGACTCCTGCTGGCGACTCTGCGACGACGAAGGCCACCGCGGACGCCACACAGCCGGCGCCCTATTCTCCCCACCACTCTGCACCCGCGGTTGGTACGGCCGGAACCCGACAAACCCGGGTTCCTCATCCCGACCACCAAGCAACGGTGTGGAGGAATCCGAATTGTCTCCCACTCCTGCTTGCTGCTGCTGCTGCTGCTCCTCATCATCATCATCACCAGCTTCATCCTCATCCACCGTGCTGTCGATGACTGGGCCCAAAAACGGCGACGATGGACGCATCATAGCTGGTTGCTGCAGCGACGGCGGCGCCACTGGCGCGGACTGTTGTTGTTGCTGTTCCGCCACGCTCAAACTCCGATTCTGGGTCGACGAAGCCACGGCGGCGCCCATGAAGTCCACGCTGTTGGAATCTGTCGACAAACGAGCAACAAACACTGCGGGTGAACGATCGTCGGATCACACACACACACACATACAACATACAAAAGAGAGGCGAACCAGCGAGTGATCGCCCACACGCGACCCCGTGATGCAACGCATGCCTCATTCTCAATTAACTCCGCACAAACGCCGACACGCCCTCGATCAATCGCAAGAGGAAATGAACGCCAAGGCTGCTCTAAAAGCGGCTCTCGGAATTATCATGACAATCAAGGCGTGAAAACTGCAGGTGGAGGGAGAAGAATACGACGAGGCTTGAACCGAAAAACCCAAAAAAAAAAAAAAAAAGAAGAGAGAGAGAGGAAAACTTCCAGGGAGATGAATTGGTGCGAAAAAGACGGGAAGCCGCCGTCGTTGTAACTTGGGCGCCTCCCAAAATTGCCCCAGAGCGAAATTAGACTCGAGCCGTCGTCATCGTCATAATAACCTACATCTATGGAGAGGTCACCGGGGGTATTGCACCATTACAAGACCCTGTTTCAACTCTCGAACGTATAAAACGAAACACCTGTGCCAACTTCCTAATAACGGGTTTCCCAGACATGAGCTGCAAAATTCCAATAGTGGTGTTCACGGAAGATGCAAAATTTGGCGTTGAAAGAAAAAAAAGGAGTTTTTTACTCGCATAATTCAGCAATTCGGCTTCGTAATCGCGGTTTGCTGAAATTTCAAACGAAATACGCAGGAAATAACGTGGATGCGTACTTAAAAACGAACCATAAGCTCTTTTTAATGCACCAGGGCTAATTCGTACATTCCGAGAAACTAAAATTCGAAAACAATTTGGAATGTGGCGAGTGACGAGAGCTTTCTTTAAATACCTTTCTTTAGATATCTTTAATAAAATTGAAGCATATGCTAAACCCGAAATCATAATTGTTGTACGTTGAATTTTGTTCATCAAACTTAACAATTTCAAAAGAACATAGAATTTTAGGCCACTCAAGCTGTACTGTACAGTACTAAATTCCTAGCCTCCGTACCCCGATTTCCTGCGTGACTTGAAGTCGCGTTCAGAATTTATTCGTCGTTAGGTAGTCGGAAAAATTGGGGCAGGCATTCCTTCGGGCAATGGTGTCAAATGGGCCTCTGTCACCCTTCATTAGCTCCTAAAAATGGCCATCACATCACACAGCAACAACAAAAAAGAGAAAAAAAAATGCGTACAAGGTATTCCACGCAGAAAGGATTTTTCATCTCGTCTAGGCAAGTGGTAAAGTAATTCGCCTTTGTTGCCGATTTGGATCAGCGCCTCAATTTTTCTCGGAGAGAAAACAAATGAAAAATTTTTTTTTCAAGCAACGGAACAAGCGACGAGAGGCAGTCGACGTTAATGGAAGAAAAGGCTGAAAGCATTGAGAGTGCGGGAAATATAAGGTTCGGGTCGGTCGGGCAAGCAAACCCTATTTGAGGCCAGAAGCGGCTTTTTTTGGGAAGCCCACGCGAAAAGCCTAAGCGGTGGCGGCGGCAATGGTGGCGGCGGCGGCAGCAACAAGTTCGAACCTCGTGCGGAAAGCTCGTCGTCATTCGCACCTTTCGTCGACCACAAATCCTCTCGTTTCTCTTCATTCATTCATTCTTTCTTTCATTCATATTCTCGTTGATTCTTCAGTCATCTCTTCCTGCGTTCTTCGTGATTACGAAGGGAAAAAAAGGGGCGTGTGGGCGCGGCCATATATGCGGCGTAATGAACTTTTTTGTTTTCTCGTTGGGATCTCGGACTCGTTACGCCGAACCCCTTTTCATTGCCCGTATCGGCGATCGGCCCCCTGACGCAGCCCCAATTTCCGCGACTGCTCTTTTATAAGGTGCAAACAACCATGAGCGGCTCTGCAGCTAGTCATAGTCAGGGCCCTAGGCTGCTGCGTCGGTCGGTCATTAACCCCTGGTCCGAACATATATTTACACACACACACACTTCCTTCCCAGGCCCCGACTAATTGCCAGACCCGTCTTCATCTGCTCCTCCACCTTCATTCCCCCCCCAAAAAGGTGACTTCACAGATGGAGACTATCCTCTAGCGAAATGCGTGTGTGAGGATTCAACCCAGGAGAAAAGCAAGACCCAATGTACATTCAGTACAGCAAAATACCGTTACAATGAAACAAATATTTCGTTGTAAAAATAAAAAAAAATATATGATCACTGTTTGGCAGGGACTTGAAAAAATCGTTGTGATTGATCATTCGCTACAACGTCACATTCCGTATGAATAAAATTCTGGCAGTTGAACAGGCTGCAGAAAAAAGGATTCGCTGTACGCAGCAATTCATCATAATGAGATTAATTGTAACGGTATTCTACTGCATATACTGTACCTTAATTTGTTTAAATATACAAGTGACCTCTCGCTATCAGGAATTCCAGCAAACAGAATTTTTTTTGCAGAGAACCCTTCCAATATGAAGACAGAGCTTTCAGGGACCAAAAAAAATTTTATGAGGAGAAAATTGAGGTAAACGAGCTTGATGCAGAAAAATGGACATGCGGACTTGCAGGAGGCCTTAAAATGTGAGGGTAGCCATTTTTGTTTCGTTTAATCACCAGAAAAAAAATTGGGAATACTTTTCAAATTTTGCGGGGACGGCTTCAACAAAGAATTGAAAAAAGAACAACAAAAACGGTCCCTTTGCCAAACAATCAAGCCAGCAACCAATTGTCGACAACTAGGCTGCCAACGACTTGGTATACGTTAAAAACGCTCTTGTGTCAACGTTGTCCCTTAGTGGGATGAAAACCGTGTACGGTTAAAAAGATGCGGGCTTGCCGGCTTTGTTGGAGTTTCCCACTTCACTTCACTTGAAAAAAAAAATGTATACCTGTGTTTACAGATCACCTCTAAAGCGGTTGATTTCAGAAAATTAATTCAAGACACCACCCCGTCGAACCAAAGAAATATTTCAAAAACATTTGCCTTTTTTCCCGATATATTGTCGAATCAATTGAACGGCAGCTGGAAACTCGAATTCGGCTTGACAAGTTCGTTAAAGAGAACCCAACAGGACACACAATAAAACCGGTCACCTCAAGTCATTCAAGCTCGCAGTGCACGTCATCATCGTTGACGTTACGTCAAGGAGATTGATCAGAAATCAATGAGCCTTGCATCGCGGCCGTGATCATCACCTCGGGGCTTCCCTCCTCCCCCCTACAACGACCCCGATAAGACCCACTCGGGATTCCATCGCCGAGTCTTTTAAACCACACGCATCAACAACATCCAACAACAACGCAAACAGTCAGCAACCAGAAATCCCCATGTGCGTGTGAATTGAAAGCACGGGCCACCCTCGCAATCGATGATGAATAGCGAGCAATGAGCACCGAAATCCTGCTTTCCAAACTCTCTGGGATGAAAAGAGAGGTGCTTGAAAAATGCTGTTCGTGGGAAAAATAAATGAATAAAACGAACTTTCTGCAATTTCCGCAACAAAAAAAAATTCAGGGAAACGAAATAATTGGCAGCCCCTTTTCGAAAACCTCCTCATTCATCCCTTGCCCCCCCCTTGCATAACTTCCTCGACCGACCGATCAACCCCCTCTTCAGAGGGATATTGCTTCAGGGGGGAGGAGGTGGAAATTTTCAAGCACTTGCTTGAACAAAAGAAAAGCAAAACGATTCCCATCCCGCGGGGCATTAGTCGCTGTTTTGCGCGTCGACTAGCGTAGCGCTGCTGCTGGGGGAGCCGAATTAATTGGGGGCCTTGCTGGGGCTTTTAGGAACAGAGAGTCAGTCAGTCAGCCAAGTAAGTAGGAACTTCTGTTTTCTCTCAATGACGGCGAAGGAATGCATCCGACAGCAGTCATTCAAACACAGGGTAGACAGTCTTTTCAAAAATAAAATAAAAATGAATTCCCACATCGACCTGGATCCACAACATTATTACAGTACGTGAGTAAACTGTTGAAAGGTATGTAGATCCCAACTGCAACAGCTCAGAGCAATGTAGAAAAAACATAGGGTATTTTGGCATCTTTATGAAAATAAACCCGATTAAATCTAGTGACCCATGAACACTGCTTCTTCTAGAGACTTTCTAGAAATAAGGTGGATGTTCCAATGGACTGAGAATAATACGGCGTTCAGTTGGAATTCATTTAAGTTCTTGGTGATCTCTTTCAAACCTAACCCAACGACTCAGTCAATAGAATTAAATTGATTGCAGCACTAATTGCAAATTTAAACATGACTTAAGTCACCTGAAGTTGCTCACACGTCGACTTGAAAGTTAGTCACACGTTCAATGGTTGATCACATACGATAACATGGCCATATTTTATTTTCATCCCGAGCTTTGGCAAAAGAAAAAAGGTGCCAAAAAAGAAAATGCGAGGCGGAATTCCGCGCAAATTGAATCCAACGGAAGCGCACACGCGTGAAAGCAGAGAGTCAGGTACGAGGGAGAGAGAGAGAGAGAGGAAAAATAACAGACACCTTCCGAAAGCAGAGTTGGGATCCCTGAAAGCAAAATAAGTTACCTATGGGGGGAGTCTGAATAAAAAATTGAGTCAGAGAGGCCTGGAAGTTTTCTCTATTTTTCGTAATCAGCGACAAAACGCGCAGCTGATCGCATCGCGACGACGACCCCCTCGGCTTAATTAACCCCCGGAACGACCCCGAAAATCCTTGTCTCTCAGTCAGTCAGTCGGTTCATTCATCCTTGAAGAAGTGTTTTCTCTCAATGACGGCGAAGGAATGCATCAGACAGCAGTCATTCAAACACAGGGTAGGCAGTCTTTTCAAAAATAAAATAAAGATAAATTCCCACATCGACCTGAATCCACAACATTATTACAGTACGTGAGTAAACTGTTGAAAGGTATGTAGATCCCAACTGCAACAGCTCAGAGCAATGTAGAAAAAAAAACATAGGGTATTTCGGCATCTTTATGAAAATAAACCCGAGTAAATCTAGTGACCCATGAGCACTGCTTCTTCTAGAGACTTTCTAGAAATAAGGTGGATGTTCCAATGGACTGAGAATAATACGGCGTTCAGTTGGAATTCATTTCAGTTCTTGGTGATCTCTTTCAAACCTAACCCAACGACTCAGTCAATACAATTAAATTGATCGCAGCACTAATTGCAAATTTAAACATGACTT